CGTCCAAGCCCAAAAAGACTGGCACGTGTTTCGAGCGACTCGCACCCGCCGCCCCGCTCTGCCCACTTGAGCTGAGCCTACGCGCAGGGACGCGAGACTTCGCTGTTTCTTTGGGTGAGACAAATAGACCAAAAACCTGTTTTTGTTGATCCAAAAGACAGCTAGTAAGCTACCTGAACCTATACCTTCCACCTGTACGCGGTCTTCTCCAAAACTTCGTTGGTAAGAGATGTATCAGCGAACCACGGGGCCCTTGTTATGGCACGACTGGGGATGAACGGCGGATGTGGTATTTCCGTCCCACGAGCGGCAGGGCTGAAGAGTCCAGATGCAAACAAGCCGACCGAGCAGTCGACGGTGGGTTTCAGGCAGTTTGGGATGCAGTTTAGTGGTGAAACACTAGCACGCATACGCAGACCGGACTGGCATATTGACTAATCGGTTGGGGTGGTAAAATAACAGTTCAATTCGATCTTCCATGTCGGAAAATATATGGTTTTTAATGTTGTTTCTTCCAGTCCCAGGTGGGTGGTCATTTGTGGTTCTCTTCCATACCAAGCTGGCCCCAAAGACCACCAACTACCTCGCCACCAGACCGGCCCAGGTTACAATCGTGGGTGGCGCGTGGTGGAAAGCTGTGGCCTCAGCAAGAATCCCTACAGTCGTACCTTCTCAGGTACGGTGATTGGAGACACTGTTATGTAGGTGTGGAGGGTCCAGTCGTACCCTCTGAGAAGGTACTTGGATCCCTAGGGAATGGGTGGACGGGGCGGAGGGATTCCTTCCTTTACTCCACGTTCGGCACGCTCGTGGCCCCGTTCGAGCTCGAGCGTGCCATGCGGTGCACCAGTCCAATGAACACCCTCCTTGGGCGCTGTGGGGGTACATTTGTCAAAAAGGCCTTGCACGGCATCTGCTCATAGACCATGTTGGCGGTCCGCTGAGCGACACAGGCTCGTGAGGCATGCCAACAGCCTCCTTGACTTGCCACGCTTGAAGGATGCTTGCTGTCCGGCCACCTTGAACTTCTGGTCAAAAGTGGCCTGCTGATTCTCCTTCAGGCTTTTGTGCTCTCTGGCCAGCGCTTGTAGTTGTCGTTGAGCATCTCTCTGAGCATGCTGGGCCACTGCCCACTCTTCTCTCAAATGCCGGTTTTGCTCAGTCAGGGCGATCTTCTCCTTGCGCAGCTCGATCAGGCGCTGCTCCCCCAGACCTGTTCGCATGGTCTGAGTTGCACTGTCCTTCATCTGCTTCTCCACGATCACAGTGGTAGGGCTTTGCCACCACTTCCAAAGAAGCCAGGTGATCATGCCAATGACAAAGATCGTAAAGATCATCAGGACATAATCAATCATGTAATGTTCTTCGTTCTTGAAGTGGCTCATAGTTGCCGTGAAGTCACCAATCTCCTCCTCAAGGGCGTTGGAGGTGTCCAGAAAGAAGTTTGCAAACATAGCAAAGAGGGGGTCCCACGTCGGCATACTCCTTGGCACAGCGCAGGTTCTTGTTTCCCCTTTTGTAAGGTTGCTACCTGAAGGTGTGGAAAACTTTGTGTCGCTGGCCATTGCCCTCAAGAGTGAGCGTTCTCGGGTTGCTCATGCGTTCCTTGGCAATATAGGGATCGGCTTCACCTTGTGGATGTAGTCCTCTTGGCTTCCACAGTACTCCACATTATTCCCGTCCTGCCACTCACGGAACGTGAAGACACTCTGGAGCTTCTCTTTGATCTCATTAAGTAGGGGTCCTGAAGGTCTCTGCCGCCAACCAAATCAACGACATGGATTCCAAAGATGCATGCCAGCTCTCTTTCAACGGTGGGATCCATATATAAGTTGGTCTGCAGGTAGTGGTCGATACACCATGAAGAGGCATGGGTCCAGAGGGTGTCTTTGAATGTTTCCTTCCCCAACACGCGGAATGCGTTCGGTGGCTTCTTCATACCAGGCACGAGGAGCATCACAGATGGCTCATTTGGTTCCATGCCCAGGAGCTGCTTTGCCTCCCGTGGAAGTCTGATCCAAATCACCCTGTTAGAATCCTTGTCAAAGTTCTTGCCCTGGAGGAAAGCGGTTGTGATGTCTGATGTAAACATGTGCCAGCGGTAGAGTTGGCAGATGCATAAGATCAGGCCTCGGGCTAACCTGGTCAAAGTCGGGGCATTCGTAAAAAGGGCTCCTGATAGGGCATCTGGGTCCTTAAACCCCTGTGTGATTAGTCTGGCCTTTGCTCTGGGTGTTCCGTCCTCGTTCTTCTTCCAGGTCAGGTCAGGATGAAGCGAGCTTTCAGGATGCGATCAGGGTCTGCATTCTTTTCTTCATCAGAGAGCCACACTTCATTCTTGCAGAAACTTTCGATTGGCCTGTCGATTGGCCACACTCATGTAGCGCTCGAACACCTCGTCCCTGCCCTTTTTCTTCTTTGAGATTTGTTCTGACTGTGTTCTCAAGGACTTGTACCCGTTCCTGGCCTTCTTGTATCGCCAGTTGGGCTCCTGTCCAGTATGCTTCCTCCACAAGGGGGGTTCTTGCTGTTCCTCTTCCGGCGGTCTCGGAATGTGCCATGGGTAGTGCTTGACACACGGTCCTTGGCCAGGTAGTTCAGGTCAATGGGGCATTCCTCCATTGTGGGCTTGTAGGCGTTCGAGACTTCACAATCCAGTAGATGCTGGAGTGGGGGCCACATTCCACTTGCAGTTTTTTTTTGAGCGCATTACGGTAGTAGTAGCACATGTCTCCCAGGTGAAAGACGGTCAGTTGCCCTGTGAATTTTCTGTTCATGGCCCGCCTCAGTCTGGTGTCCACATCGGCTGAGAAGACTGCGTTTGCTGCTGCCTTCTGCCTTCAGTCCTCATAGGTGGTGTCCTCTTCATAGGGTTCGTCATCGGCCGGGCGTAGGCGTCTTCAAACTCTTCCTCGTATTCAGGGTCGTAGTCCTCGGCACCATAGGCCTGTTGGCTCTTTCTCGGTTGCCAACGTCCCTTGCCCTTGACATTCTTGTTCCAGATCTTTGGCTGGTCGGTCCTCGTCTTGTAGTCCTGACCCAGCAGATAGTACATCACATCCTCAACCTTTGCCATCTTCATCTCAGGGCCGACCTGCGATTGGATGAGGTGCTTCTGCTCTTGGGTGAGGTTGCTGCGACGAAGAAGCATCCAGCCAGAGACACCTTGTGCTTCTCGATCTCCCGGAGCTGTTCGCGATGCTCCAAACAGTATGCCAAGAGCGGTAGAAGAAGCGCTCGAGGGCCCGGGGCATCTCCACACGATCGTCGTACTGGAAGGGGGAATCCAATGCCTTCAGCACTTGATCGAACCCGTCCGAGGCCTCAGCGACCTTGTCCACCATGTGCTCCACCTCCTTCCAGGCCGTCCCCTGAAGGCTCGTCAAGAGGTTCAGGATGGACTCCTTCTCTTTTCCTTGAAGGGCCAACTTCTTCTTGTAGAGCAAGATGCGTTGTCTCCACTCTTTGTAGTCGGCGACCCGATTGTTGAAGATCGGGATGTAGGTGTCTTGCATCGTCTCGATGGATATATGTGCAGCCGAAGAGGTCGTGAAAGGACCGGGAGGCTGATGGTCCATTCCCGCCAGGCATCGTGCCTTGGAGCGCCCTGGTAGCGCTCCGCTACCAATGTTGGTAACAGAGTGCTGTTCACCAAGTTACGGACCACGAAGTCCTCTGTCGAAACCAAAGTGAGTCGCTGCGGTCACGCAGCCATTTCAGCAGCCATTGCTCAGTCCGCCGCTTGTCTTGAGGCGAGCGGTGTGAGGGAACATGACAAACAGTGCACATGCCAGCTACCCACCGGCTGCGCGGCGCGCAAACAACAGCGAATCAATCGACCGCGACACTCTCTTGCCGCTGTACACTGGCTGCTCCTAAACTGTCCATGAAGAACCCGACTGTTCGACTCTCCCACAGGTAGCTGAGTAGTAGGGTCCTTTTTTTCAGGTCACTGGAGACCCCTCTCAACTGGCTGATTTGGTTTGGGGCTTCGACTCAGTGTTGACCGCAGGCGAGGCGTTGAACGGCGACCCTGCCTTCTGCCATGTGTCGAACGGGGCTGGCGGGAGAGGGAGACCAGCACATGTAGGTGGGTCTTAGGTTTTGGAAGTCTTTGAGTCATTCCACGTTTCGGGTAATGCAAACTCGCCTCTTTTCAGGTGGAATAATTCCCGTTCAAAGAAGAATAATCCAATCCGGCACTGCCCGGCCACGATTCCCTCTCCGCGTTCCAGCGTCCCTCGCTCGCCACATCTCCGAGCTCCGCTCCATCGATGGCTGAACCGGTAGAAGGCAAGTCACCTTTGGAACTGTTGAAGTTTCCTTTGGAAACGGAAACGGATGAAGCCAGGGGCCATGCTCGAAGCTCCGCTCAGGCTACAACGGCACGCGCATCACGTCGCTGCGTCATGTGCGCGACTTGTGGCGGGAGACGCACCTGGGCCGAGAAGCGCTTGTTGTTCCCGCCCTGGGGCGGATGGAGTTGGAAGGTTGCAGCCACAAACTACAACACCCGGCAAAGAAAGTAGATAAGTTATCTTAAGCCGTTGGACGAAAAACCCTGGAAAAGCATTCTTTGTGGAAGAATTGGTGTTCGAAAAGGTCTTCTCACTGAAACCGAGTTCGGTCTCCGCTCGTTGTGGTCAAATGTGTTTACTCCGGGGCCCTTGGCGTCGCACGGGATGCTTCGAAAAACGCTAAGAGAAGTTGCCATCTGGCCGGTATAGGTATGACTTATGGGAACTGGGTCTACATTGGAGGGTAAAGTAAGGTAAGTAAGGAGTGCCCGGAACATTCAAAAACCTGGAAGCGTCCAAGAAGCACTATAAGTGGTGGGATGACACTCCAGATGCAAGACATGTTTCCCCTTTGTTTTTAGCCTCTTTTCACCTGATTCTTGATGCTGGCAGCATTGGTTTCTTTGCCGCAGCCGCGTATAGCCATTGGTGAGAAGTGTCTCGGCTTTCCCTCATCACGTGTGGAGCGTGTCACACCTCGTCATGGCATCGAATGGCTTTTTGTCGATGAGCAACTCCTCAAGTGGCTTCAGCGGCTCGGCAGAGTCTAAAGTCTGTCCGGTTCACTGGATGGTTCCGCGAGTGGCTCACAGAGTTTGACTGGAGAAGGCAATCTGAAAACTGCAAAAAGGTCATGCAAAAGGCTTCTAGCACAGCACCCGAAAATGGATGCGTTGAACCCTCTGGTTCTTTCGGACCCTCTTAGCAAGAACCTGGTTTTGCTCAGGATGATGTTTTACGTTCAAGAACCTAGGGATGAAGATGCGTGACTGTTTCCCGGATCCTGGGAGCCGCAAATTCATGAGAAAGGGGTTGCTCATGTTTCTCAGCGAGATTCCATCAGACAAGACCCGTGGAAAACACCCCCTGTCACTTAAGTGTCTCCCTCGTTGTTCGGTGATTCAAGTGTAGTACCAAATCGATTATTCAGACCTGCGGCGGTCTTCTAAGAAGGATCCAGTTGGGGCCTTGAGGGAAAGAACCTATAAACCAAATCTACCAGCAGTCACAAGACCGGGTGCCGACCTTGGAGGATGCCCGGGGTGCCCCTGTCACATCCAATGGGGCTAAACACCACCGCCGTCTTGTGAGTGCTGGCTGGTCGGAATGGTTAGGCCAGAATCCTTGATTTAAAAAAGTCAAGAAACAGGCTCTCTCCAATGAAAGATTTTTAGAATGTTGGGGTTGCAAGATGCTTCCACTGTGGCGCTCTCTTCCACTTTTTGGTCCCGTAGACTAGTGACTCGTCGACACGCAAAACGATGGCGCCCATACCGCCTGGAGATCCCCAACACATCCCGCCAGAGGAGATCCCTCATGATTCAAGACCCCAGCCCCAGAGGAAAAGAGCTACCTGGACTCGTCTTCAAGTACCTTAGAAACTGGGACATGACCCCTGAAAAACAGATACTTGTGTACATGTACGTATATAGTTCCTTGAAAACCTCCTCCTCTCTCCGAAAACCAAGCCCACACCTCCGCATCATCACCTCCGCATACAGTAATCTCCCGCCACTCACCGCTTCCACCCTCCGCCGTGTTGCATCCCGACGACCTCTCCCCCCTCTCAACGAGGCGTCGAGAGCATGGCCAGTCAAAGCTTGGCCACCGATGTGGCGGCAGCCAATGCCTGGTCCTTTGATTGGCATTTGACCAAGAACCCCTGGGAAGGACCGCATCCAAAACTTCGTTCCTTCGCCCTCGCCCGGGTCCCAAACCATCGAGGGCCGCAAGGTGGTGAGAAGGTCGACCGACCGTTGACCCGTCCCGATTCAGGTCCGAGCCCTCCATACCAACAGAGGTTGAGTGACCCTATAGACTATCCCATAGGTACTCCAGGTTACGGGTCCTAAGGTTACTTGACCTCTCTTGGTGGGTTCCGGGCCGAACTCGTTTGGGTCGCCTTTGCCCGGTGACGGTGACGCGGCGCGCGGGGACCGCGGGGACCGCGGGGACCCGCGCCTCGAAGAGGGCCGGAGCGTGGACCGTGGACCGTGTGCGGAGCAGAAGCCAGAAGAATGCACCTCCGGGATGGTAGCTTTTTACATCACAGAGGACTGGATGGTGGATGGTAGCGTATTAAACTTTACATCACAGAGGACTGGATGGCGGTTGAGAACGATTTCACCAGTCCAACGGAGCCTGAAGACAGGGTCGTTCTGAGGAAGAAGCTTGTCTATTTAACAGTGACTGACACCAAAGTCCAGCAGGACATTCTTGGGATCTTTACATGTTTCTCGTTTGTCGTTTGTGTTTTAACGATCCACACCCTAGCTCATCCCCTGAACTGCAGGGGTGGGGGTAGGGATTGTGATCTATACATGGGCCTTTGAACTTGGTTGGTTGGTTGGTTGGTTGGTATACTCCCAAGGTCGGACATCAACCCATTCCACAGTTTGAACGAGGTATCTCCAGTGGGGGAACCCCCGGTGCGGTCGACCAGTCCTGCCGACCTCTTCGGGGGGTCCGTTTCTCCGGGCTTAGTGCTGATGTTAGTTTCCAAAGATGAAGTATATATATACCAGCACCCAGGTCGGGTGGTTTATAGACCCCCCTGAAGATGTACTTTCCATCTAATGACCACCCGAACTGGGTGGTGCTGGTATATAGCAACTCTTATGATGCTAGCATTAATGGCCTCCAACCTAGAAGCGATGGTCTCCAACCTACACGAGCGATGGCCTCCAACCTAGAAGCGATGGTCTCCAACCTACAGAAGCGATGGCCTCCAAAGTCTCAATATCAAAAGATGTGTTCCTGGATGGTTAAAACAATGACAGTAGCTCTTTTTTGCATCTTGACAGATTTATACCAGCACCCACGGCAGTTGGTTGGACACCCTTTTACACCTCAACCTTTTTAGGGAGCTATGAATAATGGGTCAAAGCCCGGATCGCCCTGGTCCACCATCTGTAGAGAAACGACCTTCCAGGTGGGTCAACCCGTCGGTCTGGTTGTGACTGGCAGCCATATCATGTCAATCAGTGCACAGTGAACGACCTCGGGTCAAGCTCAAGACCTCTGTGATGATAGAAAGTGAAGAAGTCTTGAGGTCCAGATCGACCTCCACCCTTAAAAGATCAAGCAGGTGTTTCAAGGACTTCAGAAAGCATCCGCCAATTGATTGGCGGGGACTGGGGAGTATCCAAAAAGGCCTATATATATGCAATAAGTCAATGACCGACCTGGGTCGACCGTTGTGTTTTTGGTGCCCCGCAGGACTCACGTCCAGTTTCTTCATGATCTTGGCCACGGAATTGGGTGATGAGACCTTCATCATCGCAGCAGTGATGTCGATGAGACATCCCAAATTCGTCGTGTTTCTGTGCCGCAGTCTATATGTCGCAAGTCTGTCTGGGGTGGCTAGACTGGCTGGAACCCTTCAGGTTCATGCAACGAAGTTCGTTTGGGTTTTCCTTCGGGGACGGTTTCAGGGAATCTTCCGGGTGGGCCCTGTTTTTTCGAAGAACTCTGTGCCTGCGTTTCTCACCAAGAATCCTATCCTAGACACTCCATGTACGGCATATTTACCTATACATTGGGGTGGTTTTAGGGGTCAATGTAGCTATTTATAAATATGCCAGTCCCATGGAGTGTTTGGGTATGGTTCTGGTGTTCACCGGCCTCTCAGCTCTGGTCGAACCGAACCGTTTAACGGGGCGACGGTTCAAGGTTCACCTTTCCAGGGCGATTGGTTCGTGGAGTTCGGGCGATGTATGCAGCGATGTATGCAGCGAAGACACCGAGGCTTTCATCCCAAAAAAGGAAGGACCCCCTGACATCCCTTGACATCCCGCAGAAACAGATATGCTTATAGCTCGCGCCTTTCTTTCTTTTTTCGGGTTCGCAATTCGCTCCGGAGATCCAAACCAAAACCACCGAAGGAATGCCACGAGCCCCCGGCAGCTCCGTCCGAACCCGCGTGCGAACTCGCGAAGAAACCGGCGTGCACCGGCGAACACCCCACGTGTGCTTTCGCGAAACGCCGAGGCTCTCGGGGGCCTTGGGAGCCTTGTACTTCATGACGGTGCTCTCGGCCTTCCTGGGCCTCTCGGCGTCTGTCGCGCGGCGACCGCCGCCTCGATCGCGCCCTTCGGCGACGCGCGCGGGGCGACGCGCGGGCGACGCGGTGCCCACGACGGAGGGGTTGGGACGTCGCGGCACCCGCGAAGGTGGACGCGCGGCGGGGGGGATAGGCAGGGAGGGTGGGCGAACAGAGTCTGAAGGTCTTAATTATGCCTCCGACCTCTGGGATGCGGTCGTTCTGCCGATTTTAGTCCCAGACTGCTGGTGTTTCACATGCCATTGCCATGTATAATCATGTGTATATAAGGGACAGCCAGTGAGACAGCCACAAGCACCAACAAAATGAGGTGGAGAGTATCTGCAAGCTTTCGACCAGCCCATTTCAGTCTGAACTACAACCTGCACGGTGTAGCCATCTCTTCACTCAAATCTCTATCCTTCCGGTGCTTGTTTTCCTCCCTTAGCGCCCAGCCGACGTGCAGGAGTGGTTCTTCCCAACTTGATCTCCCAGGCTGGGATGTGCACGAAGCGCGAACCTGAGTGGGAAACAATGTGCCAATCCTCCAATCCTCCAAACCTCCTGATAAAAACCACCTCCAGCTGCACGAAGCGCGAACCTCAATTGAGTGGGAAAACAATTCTCCCAGAGTTGGAGCTCCAGGTGTTTGACCCACAGCCATATGTCGTGATTCGGGGTTTGATGGTGCACGTGGTGTCTTCAGATTCCATCAAGAACTGGGAACCCTCGTGTGGTCTTTTGGGGTCATAGACATGAAGACATCCACAGGGGGAACATGCATAGACACACTCGCTTGGACAATGTTGGCCAGGCCTTCCCAAGAACCCTCGCCCTGGACCTGAAAAAGGGGTGTCCTGTTTGGAGGTCCCTTAGTGGTGTAGGAGCTTCCAGCCAGGTGACCCCTTTGAAGGTGCTGAGATGTTCCATCGAAGATCCCTGTCACGGAGTGATGGAATCGTATTTCCGAACAGCTTGACACTGGGTGCTGTCGCTTCTGCGACCAGAGAAGTGCTACAACCGGATTCCTATGCCAGACAAATTCGTCCGCAAACCCATGAATGATGTTGAAACCTGGGCCTTAAAGCCACCTGTAGCCAGAAAACACCAAAGCTACCAATGACTACTATTACCAGCTTATGCATGTTTTTGTCTCGCAGATTGCCACCTAATGATATATCCCATAGCTGAAATAGCCTTGCGACTGGCTCTTGCAACAAAACACGCCTTTCCAGCTGTGCAACCTAACCATATCTGATTGGTAGTTTCAGAGGGAACGGTTGAACGGGATGGGTTTCACGGTTGTTTCAGATGTGCGTTCTCTGAATTTTGGTGGCATCAAAGCAAATCTGCACGTTGCGCCATGAGATGCCTGCGAGGAACGAGTGACGCAATGTGCCACGATCCTCTACACCTTCTTCGGACTTCGTCTCATGTATGTGGGTGACTTGGTGTATGTATGTGGGCTCCTACCGCAAGACCGAAGACCGCCCAAAGCGATGTGACTACCGGTTTCTGTTGATTAAGGGGGTTGAAACAAAGGAAACCAAGGGAGTGCAGAACAAAGGAAACCAAGGTTTTCCAATTGGGTGTGCAGAATTGTACCAAGGGGGTTGAAACAAAGGACACCGCGATCAACAGATCGAGCTTAGAAGCCACCCAAAGATACTGCACGGTTTAAGGGAGAACGGGTTGTGCGTCATGTCCTGGAAATCCTGCAAGTTGGTGTTGTTGGGTCCAAGCCTGAGCAATTAGTAATATAGTCAGTGAAAGAGCATCACAATTTTTTGAGATGTCAGCCTTTACAGTGGTTTCAGAGTAGATGGCACAAACCCAAAGATGTTTATCATATGGGGGTCCTTCTAAACCACCTTTTGGGGATTGTGCCATCTACTCTGAAACCGCTGTACATGCCTTTACAAACCATCCATCCACTGGGCCCTAACCGGCCCTCGGTGGGCACGGGATGCAGCCGAAAAAGATCTGTAAAGTGAGCTGTTCAAGATCAATCCTCCAGTTTTGAACATAGATTAGGAGCGATCGGACGCTACGATCGGGGCTCCTGGCCTTACTACTAGGAACAAGGTTCGCTACTAGAGTTTGGGGCTCCTGGCATCGCTACGAACAGAGCTCAGTGACGACCAGTCTCAGATGCTCAAAGCCCGGTCTCGGATGCTCGGGGGGGTCCTTAGATGTTCTATGATGGGGCTTGTTAGGGGTCAAGAAAGGAGAGCTGGTCCGTGGTGGGGTCAAGCTGGGTGAGCATGCAACAGCGGGACCCACAGTGCTTCCCTCAGCTGCATGTGTGCAGAAAGAGTAGCCATTATGGTCATGATAACATCAAGAAGTTCAAGTGAATCTAGAGTCGATGATGCGCAATTGAGCAGTCTGCCACTTGCCCTGTTGACATCGAAGATCAAGACATGTTTCAAGTTTTTTGTGGCTTGGTTCCACTGGAGAAAGCCTCAACTTGGACTGGAGAACAAGCTATTTTGCACTGTTCTCACAGCCTTTGAACGAAAGGCCTTGAGCCGCCGGCCGACCGGCCGACGTCGCCTCGGCGGACGTCTTCCGTGCTGCCCAGGAGCTCGTGGGGAGGAGGACAAAGACGAAGAGTTCGAAGAGGTGAGCGCGTTGAAGAGGACGAGAGCACTCGAGTGGACGGATCGGGGCGTTCGGATGATGCGTTCCTATACGTTCGGATGGTTTTTTGAAGGGGGGGGCGTTCATGAATTGGTAAGCCGCAAGCCTTGGTTTTTTGGCCGTGACGAACGGATGATGTGTCTATCTTCCCGGTTCCTGGGCGACTCCCCATGTCTTCCCGGCAAGTGAAGCCAAGTGAAGCAGATGAAGCGCGGCTCGAGCCGCGGGGGAGTGAGAGACCGAGGGAGTGAGAGATGGAGATGGATGTGAAGCCCTAGGGATCCAGTCGTACCTTCTCAGGTACGGTGATTGGACACGCTATGTAGGTCTGGAGGGTCCAGTCGTACCGAACCTGAGAATCTACGACTGGATCCCTAGGGAAGTAGATCAGAGGTGGGACCTTTGAGTGGTGGGACATCAGATATCCCAGACACTCCATGTATGCTATATATGCCTACATTGGGGTGGTGCCAGGGGGGTCAATGGGGCGGCAGTCCTCTGGCAGTCCCAGACAGGTCGTGTTTGGGTATTATTCATCTTCAACCGATCATCTTGAGATGATTGGATCCAACAAATCTTCAAAACGGAGGTTGAAACATGTTGAGAGCCACCAACCAGACCATGTCCAGATCAAAGGCGTCCTTCCTTCGCCGCAGGTGGAGAATACCTTGAAGGATTCCGCCTCTAAAGGACCGTGGCATGTGGACACGTGGTCGACACTTGGTCAGTGAAGACCTCTCGTGTGCCAGGGTCTTGAGGTTGTACTCGGTCAGTGCAGATTGATGTCGTACCCAGACGCGACCCGAACGAGCGAAAGGCCCCGAACCCGGCTGCAGGGGTCGGACCTTCTCATCCTCACTGGTCAGGGGTCTGGACCGACCCTCACCAATCCCTATGGTTTGGTTCGGGACCCGAAGTCGGGCTGTTTTCACGAAAACGGAGCGTCGACGGGTACACTGTGACGAATCACATCACCCTAAGGCCCTAAGGATCCTTACGGACCCTCCAGTCTGAAGGGGTCGAACCCTGCTGTTCACAAGGGTAGTGTGGGGTCCCCTCACCAAACCCTTGTTTGGTGTCCGGATCCTATCCGGGCACATGGAAACCAACCGTGGATGGCAGGCCGGCATCGGACCGGTTTGGACCTTGGACCGAACTCCAGGACCTGACCGGTGAGTTCGTTCGCCCCGGGACGTACGCCGGAGTACGTCGCATGTGACGTTAGTACTCGGTGAACTCCAGACATGACCAACAGAGGGTTGATCGAAGGACCTGAACTAGCCTATCCGGGACCCGAGAAAGGTCCTAGTTCAGGTCACTTAACCTCTCTTGAGAGGACTCAGAAGGTTCTTTCTCGGAGTTTTCGCGAGGCGCTTTCGATGGCCCAAACGTTGAAAGGCAAGAGGAAGGCGCCGTTGAGCTGTCCCGTTGACGTTGCCAGACACGACTGGACTGGCATATGCTCCACACATTGACCCCTGTTCAACCGGCCTAACTAACTGATCGGTCAATATGCCGTACATGGAGTGTCCTGGAGTGTCTGGGGTTTGTAGTCCCGTTGTGTGCCGTTGGTTTTTGGACGCCGTGGCAGACTGATTCGGCAGAGAAGACGATGTGTGTCTTTTCAGAACTTTTTACGTGTGTGTAGGGGGGAAGCGGATGTGTTGTGTTCCATCGATGTGATGTGCAAATATGTGTTTTATACCTGGATCTTCCAACACACAAATTATGCCTCTTCTTTCAAGCCAAATATCACACCATGGCATTGAATCATGCAAGCATGACATGCACCTACTCATCCATCACCTCTGATCTTTGGCCATGAGTCGCTACAACCCATATGTGCATGGCAAGGTGGACAATAGGAAACCGAGACTTGCATGAATTTTCAGATTGTATGATTTTTTCTATGTTTGCTCAATTCGTTTTTCTTGTTGATATTTTTAAATGTATGGGGTGAGTTGAATTTTTGGAACCAAACCAAGGGAAGAACCTCGCAATCCTCCTCGCCCTGTGTTTGATCCCTTTCTTCCTGCAAAGAAGATTGGAGTGACAACATCAGAGCGGCCCCCTTGACCTGGCATCGCAGAGTGCTTTGGATTTGTTTTGGGTTTCCTTTGGGCTTGAGTTTGGGTATGTTTGATCATACTTTGGATTGGATTTCGATGGCTGTGTTGTGTTTGTTTCATTATGTTTGGTCGCCCTGTTGATTTGAGTTCAGTTGAGGTGGTGGAGGTATGGTGGTGAGGCAGTGCAGGGCTGCAGGTATCGGGGGCACGTGAGCTGCCAGACGACCTTCAATGCCTTCATGCCTGGAGAGGGGGCCTGCTTTCAGCCACAGAGTCTGAGTCACATGGCACAAAGTCTTGTTTTGTTGATGTTTGTTGTTTGCTTTGGATGCTCTGGTTTTGTGAGTTTGCTGGTGTCACCTTGAAGTTTTGTTGCTTGTAGCTCTGTTTGTTTGTTTGTTGATGCTTCAGGCAATACGTGGGAGTGCCTCAAGGATGATCCGCAGAACAGCTTGGATGGTGAGGTCGTTGCCATTGAAGCTTGGCCTTCATGGAAGTTTGTTTAACTGTTTGCTGAGGGAAGTATTAACTTTTTAGGTTTTGGTTCTTGTGTTTCTATTACTTGGCCCGTTTGTTCCTGGTTTTGGGGCAGTTTGGGTCAGGAGAACTTGACGGTGTCAGTGGCTGCCAATGGATCTGAAGAGGTGTGCGGTAAGGCCTTGTTGAATGTGACTTGGTTGGATGATTGAAGTCATACTTTTATTTTGTTCTGATGGTTTTGATGTTTGATTGACTTTGATTTGTATCCTTAACATCAAGTTTAAAAACAATAGCAAAGTCGCACACAGCTTTCTGACATGGCATTTTGGCTAATGAAATGCATTAAGGATACAATACCTTGATCATCTGAGGCTCAGGATATCATAGCTATTGGGAAGGCGGAGTCCATGACAAATGTGGAGATCGCGATGGCTGTCTTCGACCAACTGAGAGGACCGGTGCTTGGAGCATGCTTGAGCGCCACCTGGCTGTAGTTTGCACACTTGGCTATCTGCAGAACCTTTTGATGTTTGAGGTTGCCTTCATAGAAACTTTCTCTCACCGTCTGACTGCAAGAGTATACGATAGAGTCTTGTAGCCCAGGACTGGATGGACGAGATGAACTTCGCCCAGGAGGAAGGGACATCTTCATCATCCACAGGCGTCCGCTGAGCTTGTTGATCGGCGTTTGCTCACCGTGTCCCATTAAAAATACCTGTAACAGGCTCAGTAAACAATGAGCGTTACTTTATTATTGGGAAGGGCCTTTAGTAACCATGGGCATCCATGGTTACAGGGAACGGATACACCCAAAGTATTTGTCAGTTGGATCCATCCCCAGCTGAGGAAGATCCCCGGGCAAAATGCTACCCGGCATGCTTTGATTACATCAAGATGAAGAAGCCAACAGCGGTACTTTTGGAGCAAGTGCCTGGGGTTGTCCGGAACAAGAAGCTGAGGAAATTGCTTTTCATCAAGTGGATGAACGTGTTTCTGGGTATCATCACCTTAATGGTTGCACTTCAACATAATTTGATGTTCATACCCCCAGCTTACATCCTTTTTGCAATCATCAACGAACTGGCAATGGCAATAATTGTTGGTTTGCACTTCGGAAGTTGTTCCTTCATTCTTTGCAAGTGGCCCTGGGAATCCTGTTCTTATTGATCAGGGCCTCTTGTCAAAATGGAGCTGGAATGGGTGCCACCATGAATGCTATCATTCCAGGCTGAAAGGTGTGAAAGACACCAATGGTTCCAGTTCTATGAGATCGACTTCAAGATCCTGAATGCATGTTGGCATGGGCTTCCTCAGAGCCGCAAGCGCTTGTTTGTGGTGGCGCTCCGGAGGGAGAAGATAAAGAGAAGATTCAGGTGGCCTACTCCCTCGAGAAAGCAGAGATCTTTTCAGTCTGTGTTGCTTCCGATCAAAGGAGGTGGAAGAATCTTGGGTGCACCAGACCAAACCATTTGTCATACAATATCGAAAACAAAGCTGGACCCTCAAGATCGTTTTCCTCCATCAACCAGTGGTTTGGGGTTCCACGTCAATCTGCAGTGGAATATTTATTTAATTCCAAAGATATCCAAAGATCATTTCTGTTTGTTTTTGAGGGCGTCATCCTCGGAAATCATGATCATGGCACCATCATGGTACCATCATGGTGTAACTCTCCCCCAGGACCTTTGAGCCCACATTCCAAAAAGATGTTGAACAAGGGCAGAGCTGGGAGGTGATCCCAACAAGATCTGGTTGATTGATGTTGGTGCTTCCAAAAAGTTCCAGAATGCGCCGAAGCACCAGATCACGCCGACCCTGACGAAGACCCGGGCTGCTGATCGAGGGTTTTGGCTGACAAAGCTGAACCGACGGCTGCTACCAAAGGATTCTTGGATTCCTGATCTTGGTAGTTTGCTCAAGGCTGTTGTTTTCCTAATTCAGACCCTATATTGTGCGCTCACCAAATCCAAGCCTTTGTGTTCCCAAATACAAGGCGTTTTGATGGGTGTTACATCCCCAAGTATATCTTTAGATAAGTTGGATTGGCCCTTACGCTCATCTCCAGGAATGCCTACGACTTCAGGGTATTCCTGGTGATGTTGCAGATCTGGCGGTGGCGATGGAGTGTCCCCATCCAAAGTGATGGGGGCTGCAGGGAACGCTTGGCCGGTGCCAGTGGTGGCAAAGGTCATCATTGCAGTGGCCATGGAGTGGTGAAAATGAATCTAGGGTTCAGGGTGGAATGGAGCCATCTTCTGTGATTGGAACCATCTTCCGTGATCCATGGGGGTTCTTGGGTGTGATGTACCACATGGATGAATATGTGTTTATCTGGGTATCCTTTGGTGGCATCATCCCAGAAGCTCTCTGAAACCAGCCCTGTCCTGGTCCTTTAAAGCCAGATCCCATCAGGTTTTGGTTGGAGGGTTTCTGAACCATCACCTGGTCCTCCTCTTTGGATGGGTTGGTGTGGTCTCCTCACCATTCCAGAGGCTCACCGCTCACCTCCCTGCTCCCAGGTCCCTGCCTGGATGGTGGCAGCAGCAGCGGCGGCGGCTGCTGCTGCTGCTGGGGCTTTGGCTTGGCAGGGAGCAGGGGTTATTGAGGGGAAGTGGCTATAGGTCCTATTGATCTATCAGGCATGGTGTTTAATCGATGAAAAGGCAGAAAATTTGCGTTGGAAGATCCAGGTATGTCAAGTTTTTGGGGGGGGCTGTTGCCTTCAGGCGGCCAAAGGCATGGATTTGTCCAGTTTGCTGGAAGCTTGCTTCTGCCACAGACTGCAGCTGTTGGGGTTCCCAGCAGATTCAGCTTCGGAGGCTTTGGGTGCTATTTCTCGGTAGCCTTTGGATATCCTCCACATTCCTTCACCCTCCGCTGACGGCGCTTCCGCCGCGCCACAAGCGGCGCGGAATCCGGGCCGGCAGGACAGAAGTCTTATGTTCGAAGGATGTTCTCCCAGTTTTGCTTCTCGGTGAAGAGATCCAAACAGTGCAGAATTGGGAAAGTGGCCAAAATAAATTCTAGAGAAGTGTGTACAAAGCGAGTTGTGCAGATTTCGACAAAAAACTCAGATGACATGTTTTACTATGCTTTACTGGTTTAAAAGAAACTTGTATATGGTCGCAAAAGTTCCTCGCGACCGTCGACCGAAATAACTTGGAGTCACTTCTACACAACTCTACATCGACCGTCGACCATGGGGTCGTTCTGAAGATGCAACTCCCTAGCAGACACTTGGGCCCCCCACCCTGATCCGTTTTGGGCAGAGCACTTTGAGGCTTAGGGACAAAGACCAAAAAATGACCCAAATGGCTTGCCCCACCGTGATGGGCCACATGCGGGTCTCCCCTCAAGTGCGGGTCACCTCGTGCCCCCCCCCCCCCGTTTGTTCACTGGTTGCGCGGCCGATGCTGGATGTGGGTCCCCGCCACACTCCATGTTTGTGAGATAATGCCGCCCCAGAAAGACTCCGGAACAAATGAAAAACACCCCAATGTTGCCAATGTAGGGAAATATACCATGCATAGTACCATACATGGAGTGTCTGGGGATGCTGGATGTGATCTCGTTTCTAGCCGCCAGCCATCGTTTCTAGCCGATCGCTCGCCAATCGCTCGCGAATCGCTCGCGAATCGCTCGCGACGGAGGCCCTCGGTCACTGGACCATCTCCCATGTGCAGTTCTTTCCCCTTTGCCAAAACCGGAACTCGCAGCGACTTGCTGGGAAACCCCGTTCTGCCCAAACACCTTACTAGCAAGCTGAGCTCCTTGTTGTTGCCATGTGTGTTGCACTACGCCGTGAGGTACCCCTGTCTTCCTGGAAGTGCCTCGGCAGATCTTGTCTTCCCCGTTTCACGGGAAAAACACCTCGGTCCCTGGAGGTCAAGGTCCTGTGTGTTCGACCGGGCTGCATGGACCTGCCCGTCGACGCTCCGTTTGAAACCCGAACCAAACCATAGGGATTGGTGAGGGTCGCTCCAGACCCCTGACCCGTTCGGATGAGAAAGTTCGACCCCTGCATATTATGAGGGTTCAGGAGCATCTGGGTGCTTCATATTTTGTGGCAGGTGGGGTTGTGCCAGGCCAAAGGGCCAGATAAATCAACACTCCCTGAAAGAATCCATAGCTGCGTTATACGTGGCATGGCCCCTGGATGCTGGATGGTTATGAGAACCGCAGATCAAACAGGTGGTGAACTCCATGATGATTTCAAACAATACCAGGACCCCCGGCGCCATGGGGTTCGTGGATCTAGATACCTCTAAGGAGCTAGCTATAGACACACCAAGCAGAGCCTTAGTGGGCCCTGGTATAGGAGGCCGTTCCTTCCTTCAACCGGAACTTCCCCACCAACAGGATCCAGGTGGCGTCGTGTCGTTGAGCGACACAGCGTTACCACAGGTTCGGGGTGTTTGGTCATCACCACGCTATGTGGTGTCCTTTTCTCATTTGGCTACTCTTTTCAGGAATGCACTGGACTAATATGGAAATCGCAGGAAAGCAATCACAAAGTACAAAACTCGCCTTGTAGATCGATGTGGCCTTCCAAGAGGGACTTGCTCTTTGCACGCACACGAGTGCCACAGTTCCGAGTCGAGCCTGGAGCGCCCAATGCGCGGCACGAAGATGGCGCTGGGGGGGGGGGGTCTATGTGGCTATGCATCATGGCACTAGGATGCTCCCCTCCCAGACGCTCCTGGACCCTCATATAACTATACAGACAGGGGTCGGACCCGAATCCTATGGAGGGGTCCGGACCTTCTCACCAATCCCTATGGTTTGTTTTCAGGGCTCAGTCGGCCTGTTTTCACGGAGCGTTTGGGCTGTTCAGATCCGAGGAACTGGACCCTCTCCACCGAAACGAAGTGGTCGCACCGATCAGCGCCTGCTGTGAACCTACGGGGTGACGTGGCTGGGGCCCGAACGAAACCCTATAATCACCCTAATGTGTGGTTGAGGGTCCCGGATCCTATCCGGGTGAGTGAATCCCACTTCCTTGAAATACTGAATCCTGGTAGCCTCAGAACCCTTGCGTTTGTTTCGGGTCCGGATCCTATCCGGATCCATGAGCGGTTCACCTAGCGGGTGGCTTCGGTGGACACCGGTCTCGTCCACGGCCGAGGCCCTGATGTTGACCTTCCTGGCGGAGTGGGGTGATCGATCACAGATCGCCACCATCTCCTTAGCCGCGCATCAGTCCCTTGGGTTTATACTAAGATGTTAGGGGACAGCAGCGGGGCGGGGGACAGCGGAGCGTGACTGCTTGGGATGTGGTAGATGATCATTGAAGGAATTCAGCGAAGTGTGAGAAGAAAGATCCCGACGAATGTTGATGAAGGATAAAAGACATAAGGCAACGTAACCTGATTATCATAGACCATTCATTGACTCATTAAATTCAACAACAAATAGATAAAGACATGTGTATATAGGAGGTTTTTGCAGTCCAAGTAAGGAGGTTGTATGAAGCAAGAGTCATGCATGATCCCTCAGATTTCCCAATCTACAAAACGCTGCCTGAGATGACACTCCCACCAATGCGTCCGGCTCTGAGCTTCAGTTTTACTTCTCCGACAAAGCTTCCCAGCAGGGTCCTATAAGGTCACTTAACCTCTCTTGGTGCTGGTAGATGATTTAATGGTTTTTTAACGCTGTGTAGACCCCAAAGACTCAGAGTAGGGCACTTGCAAAAGAGTCTCCACGTCCTATTCTTTGCGAAGGTCACATCAGCAAACTCGTTGGAGCCTTCAGCACAAGATCGATCTAATACGATACAAATTGGAGCTCACGTCCAGCACTTCTGGAGCAAAGCATTGGGGCCTTTCCGTCTATCATGTACAAGAAGCCTTCCACATGGGTTTCTCGAAGCTGACCTGCCCTTGTGACCCACGCCTTCTGACCCACGAAGCGTTAACTAAGCGTGTTTGACGACGCGCACGATCCCTTAGACGTGTCCCGAAGACGGTGCTCCCAGGAACCCTTTGGCCGTGATCCTGGGGGCGATAGTCGGGCATTCCATTTGCGTCTTGGCCGAATTGTCGTTTACGTCCAAGCTGGGTCAGCTGCGCAAGCGACGGTCACACGGAGAACCGGTCAGCTGCACTGGTGGAGAAGAACCATCTGAGCGAGAATTTGGGGCAGAGCGACGGTCGGAATGTTTGAGGCAGTTGTAAGGAGGTCCGCATCATTTTGGGAGCTCCCTGCCTCACGAGGATTTCTTGGTTTTCGCTTCTGCCAGGGCGGTGGGGGGCCCGCGATCGCAGCATGACGTGCCGAGGCTCCTAGAGTTGATGTGTTTCGATGACGGACGAATCAAGGACCGTCGACGCTCTGTTCACAGCCCGACCGTTCCGAACCAAACCATAGGGATTGGTGAGAAGGTCCAGACCCCTGACCCGAGGATGAGAAGGTCCGACCCCGGACCATCGGTTTCGGGGCCGAACGGGTCGCGTCTGGGTGGATGATTCATCATTTACTGCAACAAGGGCTTCGATTGCGATATCCCATTGTCCCATGGCGACAGATCTTGTTACCTTCAAGTATACTTCTCCGGTCCATTGAAGTCACTAGTAAGTCACCTGTTGATGAAGCATAGCTGATCCAAGAAAAACATGTCCGAACATAATTCATATTGCAAGTGACCCACAGTTCCATGGAATTGGGATGCGGAGAAACGAAGAGTTCCGGAGTGAACGTTCTGGGTGTCACACTTCTAGCATCATTGGATGGGAGCCGAACCACCCACCCCTTGGCTTCCAAGACTAAGAAGATCGTTGACTTGGTGTTGTAGTGTAAAATCCTTTAAAGTAAAACATGGTCACCATCAAATCCTTTAAGTACACTGATTGGACTAAAGAAGATGTAAGGTCGACCATTGTAAAGCAGCACTGGTTGGAAGCCAACAGGGCCAGGGAACTTCATGAAACTCTAGGGAACGGTCCGCTCCATGTGGAGAGCAGCAGCTAGCTGTGGGTGTCTGACAGGGTCTCTGAAAACAGAGTGGTGGTCATGAATGGTAGCTATACAGGCTTTTTTGTGGAAGTCCATGCTTGAAATATCTTGAAAAGGATCAATGAAGCTAGCAATTAGATACCAGGATCATCCTGTCTGGGTGCCCTCAGACAGGGTCCAGTTGCTCCGCAGTGGGCTGGGTAGTCCACAGCCAGGACTTCCAGGATGGTCCTGGTAGAAATCACAGTGCCCTAAGGATCCGAGTCCGGACCCTCCATAGAAGGGGTCGAACCCTGCTGTGAACTACGGGGTGACGTACAGGGCCCCGAAGTAAACATCTCCAAACCCTATGTGTTTGAGGGTCCGGATCCTATCCAGGTGGTGCGACCTTGGGGACCAAGCACTGTAACCAAGCGACATCAAGCGACATGAGGCACGGGCCTGGCCGTGTTTGGCGGTGAATTCCTGGGCAAGAGGATTCCACAGCAGCCTGCACAGCAGACGCCGACGCCGTGCTACGCCGTGCTACGCCGCGCTCTGGAGATCGGGTGCTGGTCATACCATACCTAGACACTCCATGGGACTGCCATAGGACTGCCGATCAGTTGGGGTGGTGCCAGAGGGGTCAATGGGGCGGCAGTCCTATGGCAGTCCCATGGGTCGTGTCTGGGATACCCACACCAGACCCAGGGAACGGGAATATTTTCCCACCCAGACGCGACCCGTTCGGCCCCGAAACCGATGGTCCGGGGTCGCACCCGAATCCTCGGGTCAGGGGTCTGGACCTTCTCACCAATCCCTAGGTTTTGGTTCGGGACCGGTCGGGCTGTGAACGGAGCGTCTGGGCATGGAACCATGTAATCCCTAGCCTTCAAAGACCATTAAAAGAACGATTGAGCTGGTGGTGTAGTGTACAAGTCCTTACTCCTTAGTAAAACAATGGTTCTTTGGTAAAGACCATTAATTAAAACAATGGTTGTTTGAATTCTAGGGTAATACCATGTAATACCATACCCTCGGGAATATTGACCTACATTGACCCTTCAATCACCTCAAAATGACGGTGAATATTCCAGTCTCACGGATTGGCGGGATAGAGAATTCCAGAAGTGTCCGATCTATGTCATTCCACTTGGGACACACATCCCACTTGGTGACGTTTGAAGCTTCGGAGTGAGATGCTTCCAAACCAAGCGGAACTCAAGAGCTTCACTGCGAGGTGCTCCCCACCCATCAAAGATGCCCAAGAAAAACCTTGGTCATAGCAGAGTGCAAGCTGCAAGAAGGTTCCAAGAGTGCAAGCTGCAAGATCCTTAGCTTATGTATAGGGAACAGTCGCGTCAATGTTTGGAAATTGCTCGCGAGTTAAGAGCATTGAACTTAACACAACTGTTAAAGTTACATAACCTAACTTGGAGTTGCTGATTTGCTATGTTCACCATGGACAGAAATGTCCTTGACTGTAGGGAAACAACACCAACATTCAGCGTGGTCTGAAAACCAATTCCACATGAAATCACACAAGCAACTTTCAGGTCAGCCGCAGTTGCAAAAGTCCACAGAACTCCGAGAACAGCTTCCAACCGCCACCCGTGCGTTTTGAACCGCCGGACGGCACAGCGGCGGCGCCCATGCTTTAGGCGATATGTGGCTTTCGGAGGAGGCGCCGGGTGCGGAAAAAAGGACCGAACCCTCTGATTCCCAGACACCACCGCCATCTGGGACTGCCAGTCCGGACTGCCGAGAAAAGGCCAGGGGTGGTTGAAGTCGGGGGGTCGACCTCTGGGGCGGCAGTCCGTCCTGGCAGTCCCAGATGGTCGTGTCTGGGAAAGGGTCTATGCATCACCAACAGAGGTTGAAGGACCTGAACTAGCCTATCCCAATAGGATCCAATAGGTACCCGAGTAAGGTGCTATAAGGTCACTTAACCTTTTTTCGACTTCTACACCCACTCGATCAGTCAAAACCCACTCGATTCTACACCACGTCCCATGGCGACGTCCCATGGGTCGTCCGAGCCGGAGCCTGGCGACGGTGCGACAGTGCGACGTCCGCGTCGTCAGCGCTTTGGGTGCCGGTGGTCTGTTTGTTTCGACCTGTTGATGTAGGGCGGGGTAGTCTACACCCAGACAGGATGACCCTGGTAGTTGGAACAAGATCTAGTTACACAATGAATGTCATCCATCAATTCCCATTAAATTCTAGTTGTATGGAAGGCAGAAAATGTTCCATAGTGGGAAGATCCAGGTCTTCCCCTCGTCCAAAAGCAAGACCCTTTAGTCTTCCCCTCGGTCTCTTCCATTCCTGTTCAATATTGCCTCGGGTGACGGAGATAGAATCCCTTTTGTCTTTTGCTGGGGGAGGGTTCACCCTTCGAAGGAGCAAATGGTTGGCGAGCACCAGGAGCACCAATTGGTACCTGGCAGGTGGAAACAAGTTACTACCCAGACGCGACCCGGGACCCGAACCTATGCAGTGGTCGCGAGTCGCACCCGAATCCTCGGGTCAGGGGTCTGGACCTTCTCACCAATCCCTATGGTTTTGTGGGACCAGTCGGGCTGTGAACGGAGCGTCTGGGTATAAGAACCTTTTGGGCATCGCGACTTGAACGGAGCAAGGGTTCGGACGTGAACCGGGCTCCGGGGCTCCTGGCCTTCCTGCTCGTGACGCGAACGCGAACGGAACAAAGAGTGAGGGTATCTTCAGTGGCCGCAGGTTGTCTCTTCATCCTCTTTGCGATTCTCAACTTTCTCGGGGTGTTGCAGTGAACAGCATGCGCACGCTGGGGAACCGGCACTGATGCACTCCTTCAGCAAAAAGGCTCCCAGTGACGAAAGCATGGAAATGTCATATTAAAGAAATGTGAGGGAGGCGAATAACATCCGCGATGAATATGAACGGAACCTGTTCCAACAAAAATATACCAACAAAACACATAATATGTTTTCTTCGGAGTTGTGAGTTGGTTGTTTTGTCCCCACACTCAATGTTGAGCAGCAATTTTGTGTTGGCAGACAAGTATCCTTGTCCCAGAATTGGTTTAAGGAAACCTTACCGGAAACCCATGGCTAGTTTGGGAATGAAAACCATGGTTTCCTGTAGATGTTCCCTTCTACCAATCCATTGACCTTGACAACGCGGTTTCAACGAAATCTCCACCATCATGGACCCGTGAGTTGATGAGTGTCTAGGTACTCCCCAAGCTATCCTTTCTTGGATCCAGATGTGCGGAAAGAGAAGGTGTTTCATAGATTCTTTTTCTGTTGTGAGTCG